TTTATTAAGTCTTAAAAGCTTGTTAAAGGCCATCCAAGATTCAACTGGTCTCTATTCACTGGAAACACCAAAAGAGAAGGAGACATAGGAATCTGAGAAAGAACTAGACTAAAGACTAATTGCACCCATGCCTCTTTTGTCATGAGACCAGAAGAACTGGATGGTGCCTGGATACCATACTGAACATGTTTATCAGAGTCATAATAGATAGATCTTGACCAAAGGGAGAAAAATATGGAACAGAACTTCAAATTCTAAAGACTCCAGACTTACTGGATTCATCGAGACAACAGGAATCCATGAAACTAATGTCCTGAAATATTCTTTAAACCTTTAACCAAAACTCATAGCACCTTGTATAAGGTTTCCAAGGATTGGCTGGTGGATTTGAACCACTAACCTTTTGGTTAGCAGTCCAGTGTGTTTCCAGGACTCCGGTAGAGCTTGCCTTAAATACATAAACACAGTCTCAGAACCGAAATCAACCTAAAGGTTGGCAGTTCAAATCCACACAGAAGTGCCAAAGAAAGATCTAGCAATTTGTTTCCATAAAATTTCAGTCAAGAAAGCCCTATGGAGAAGTTTCACTCTGTAATACATGCTGTCACCATGAATTTGAATCCACTCAAACGCAACAAGTCTGGTTTTTGTAAAGAAAAAATAAGCACATCACACACAACAAATAAGAAGAAAATTACTGAAAACAATACTAAAGAATACAAAAAGAACAGAACACAAAGACATAAAATAATACAAATTATAGAAGAGCAATTAGGAATCATAGAAGGAAGGGTGACAGACTCTAAAATATGTCTAAGAAATCTCGAGAAATAATACAAGGAGTGATGAAGAAGAAATGTTCATAGAGGTCAAAGCTGATAATTTTCCAACTGAAGACAGTCACAATTTGAATTAAAAGGGCACAGCAAGTTCTAAGAAATAGACATTCAAAAATACATCCAGTTCTAATCACATTGTGGTGAAACAAGATCAGTGAAGATAAAAGGGCATCATTAAAGCAACTAGAAAATGATTTTTAAGAATCACCACAAATCCAAAAACTAATTTTTAAAAAGACTCAAACATAGAAATTTATTTAGGGAGAGTTAACAAGGAGAAAAAATGGAGAGGGAGTTGACGTAAAAATTGTTGTCATTGTAGGCATAAAAAACTGGCACATAAAATACAGGGTATAATCAGAGTAATAATAAAAAGGTAACAGAAATTTTATCATCAACTTAACATCAATAAATTTCAGATATTATTAGCAAAAACATAATTTACCAAAACTGGGTTAAAAAAAAAAAAAAAGAAAAGCCATATAGTCAGAAAGCCTGAATAATCTTATAACTAATGAAGAAATTTAAGCATAGTTTCAAAATCTTTCCACCAAAAAAAACCCCACTAACTTCTGATGATTCAGATTGTATTACATGAGTTCTACTAGAAAACAAAAAGGAAAAAAGATCCCCTAATTCATGCTTGTAGTCCAGTAAACTTGATACCAAAATTACAGAAAGGTAGCCTGAGAAAGAAAAATGAAAGGTCAATCTTTACTCATGAAGTTACCTTCAAAAATCCTGAAGAAAATGTTAGCAAGTAAAATTTACAAATATTTTAAAAAGTTGTTATCAATTATGACCAGGTTGGGTTTATTCTAAAACATCCCTGGGTAACACAAAGGTTTGTACTCAACTATTAACCTAGAAGGAATGTGGTGGCTCCATAGGATAAACATTGGACTGCAAACCACAAGTGCGAGCCTACCAGTTGCTCTGTGGGAGAAAGATGTGGCTTTCTGTTCCTACTAAGATTTTGAAATGCCTTGGAAACCTTATACAGCTTCACTATAAGTAGAAACCAACTCTAGGACACTGAACAGCATTAACTTAGATGAAGCCCTGATGGTACATGGTTGGTGAGATCAGAGGTTCCAACCCACCAGTGGATTCACTGGGGAAAAAAGCCCAGACTACTTACTCCTGTAAAGGTTATAACCTAGGAAGCCCCTTGGCAGCAGTTAGACTCTGTCATATAAGGTTTCAATGAGTCAGCATTGATTCAACCGCACACAAAAACAAGAACTACAGTGGTGGTTTGAACTTATCCTGCAATGCCATGGAAACAGCATTAGCAATTGCTGCTGTAAATATTTCAGTGAAGAAAACCCAATGGAGTCATTCTACTCTGTAACACAGAAAGTCACCATAAGCTGGAATTGACTCAACAGCAATTTGTTTTTTGACTGGTTTGGTGGTTTGTCCTAGGAATGCAAGAATAGTACTATGTAGTTGTTGTTGTTAAGTGCCATCGAGTTGGTTCCAACCCATAGCAACTCTGTATAGGGTTTCCAAGGTGTGGCTGGTGAGCTTGAACTGCTGACCTTGTGGTTCAAACTGACTTTGCAGTCCAGTGCATTAATCCACAGTGCCACACCAAGACTCATGTTCTAACAGTTCTATGTTAGAAAGGTTTAAAAAAAAAAGCAATAAGGAAATAAAAGAACGTATACCATGGGGGGGGAGGGTGGAAAGAAATGTTTTAAATATAATGAATTACAAAAAAAAAAAAAAAAAGAAAAAAAAAAGAGAAAAAAAATCGAGGGGGGGAGGGTGGAAAGAAATGTTTTAAATATAATGAATTCCTGACATTAAAAAAAAGAACAAAAAAGAACAAAAAACACAAACCAGAAGTAAAAAACTTAAAATGCAAGAAACATTAACAGGCACATGAGTCCAACCAGTTGATAAGTATGTTCACTGTAAGCTTTTTAGGAAAAAAAAAAACAATTTTAAAAATTGGTGAAACTCTCTAAAGTAGGCAATAATAAGAAAAGTAGCAAGTTAAATTGACATTTATAGCATATTAAAGTCTTTATGAAATTCAGAAAGGGAGCTCTTGGAAATTTGAAAAATTTATATATTGTTAGAAAAAATAATAATGAAGTCTATAAATCAAAACTTCAAGAGAAGACATTCAAAGAGCAGAAAATGCTTAGAAGTATGTTGATATAAGTGAGTAGTTCATTCCTTGAAATACAGGCCTATTTTTCCATCTATGACATCAGTTGATTTTCTGCATTCTTTCCTTTTTCTACAAAGGGTTGAAAATTCAGTTTAATGTTTTGTTTTGTTTTTAATCTGTTCACCAAGACTTAGTATATCCCTTTTATAAAAGCAAATTAATTTGATAGTTATAAATAAATATAACATAACTCCTTATTGAAATTTAATGATATGTTAGAAGCATTTCTTTTAATGCCAAGAAGAAGACAAAGACCATCACTTATTTACAATAATATACTAAAGATCTTAGTTAATGTTATAAAAGAAAAATAAATTGTTTGAATAACTGGAGATTAAAAGGGGTAAAACTCTCATTATCTGTGGTATATAAAATCAAAGAAAATCAACAAATCACTAGAAGAAAGGAAGCTCAGTAAGACTACTAAATTAAGGAAATTAATATAAAATTAATAGCAACAACAGCTAAAATTTTAAAGATCATATTTATTACAGAACAAACTGCTGTCAAGTTGATTTCAACTCATAACAAGTCTTTCGAACAGAGGTGAACTGCCCCCAAGGGTTTTCAACACTGTACATCTTTAGAGTAGACCGCCACATCTTCTCCCTCCCAGTGACTGATAGGTTGTAACGTCACCCTTTCAGTTAACAGCCAAGTGTTTAACCAAAGTACCACCAGGGGGCCTTATATTTATTATAGCAAAAATAAGTAGGTCTATAATAATAAACCCAGTATAAGACATACACAAAAAAAAAAATGCATGAAGAAAATGACAAAATATTTTAAGGTCCATAAAAGAGCTGAATAAAACATCCCCCGCCAAAATACAATATTGAAAAACCATACTGATGTCAACTGATCTCATCTACTTATAAATTCAATTCCCATCAAAATCTGAGCAGAGGAATTATTTCAAGGAATTTGACAAGCTGATTCAAAGAACACAAAAACAAGCAAAGTGACAAGAGTATCAAAATCGATGTTGACACAGCAGCAAATACAAGATTATATATAATTGGATATTCCTGCAGCTGTTATTATGTGGTACTTTGCAAGTCAGCAATTGACTCATTACAAAATTTCACCTTCAATAGCTCCTCATACGTGTTACATGCGTCTATGTGTATACATACATGTGTTGTATATTTAGTTGGCATAATAATTAATAAGTACATGCTTCATTATGAAAAATAATAAATGGTAGCACTGTCTCAACAAAACCAAATAAGTAACCTGTCATAGTAAGCCATGCAACCCTGCTCAGCCTGACCAACTCATTGCCATGCAAAGCTAAGCATTGGGATCCAAAGGTAAGTAGGAGTAGAGAAGTCTGTAGGGCAAGGGGACTGATACACATAAATGAGGCAGAGGAGTTCATGGCTTGGAAGAAAATTATCAGTCCAGAACACACAAGAATTTTTAGCTCTCAAAGAACCTACCTAGGGAATTTTCACTAAACATCCTACATTTGTTATATCCCTAAAATTTTTAATTTTACTTTCTTTTAAAGTTGATGGTTTGTTTGTCAAGGAATGCAGAATTAAGGACAACCAAAAGAGAAGAGAGAAATGGTCTTCATGGTAAGAATGAAGCAGAATGGAGAGACACACAAGGAAGACACTGGAGAGGCACAAATCCCAAGCACTCCAGCACAAACTCTACTTGAGAAAGTAAATAGCCTAATTCCTTTTTTTTTTTTTTTTTATCAAGGATTATCACAGTTGCATGAATGAAAATATCTCTAGTAATATGTCTTCCTCTTGGCTTTCTGTGCCTCATAGATACACCTAAGGTGAAGAAAGAAAAGGATTTGCACCAGTCTACAGAATTTGATATTTATACAGAGGTAATCATCTGACTCTTGACTATTCATCAGTTTAGATTCATCACATTTCACTTTCAAGGGTTTCCCAATTCCTTAACTCTGCCCAGCACAAACTGAAAACATGCATTAATGTATTAAGGTAAATTACCTTTAAAACCTGCAACTTTGCTTCAAGCTCTGTTCTTCGGAGAATCATTGTTCCATTAAGAGTCTCTATCCTGTTTAAAAAAATATTGGGAGTAGCATGAATGACTAATAAACATCCTTATGGGGTACACCTTGAGTACAGTGTATACTAAAATAAAAATTTAAAAACAACATAAATGCTACGTTCCTTGTGGCGAAGTATATGGACCTAAATCAAAGCTTATGACAACATTCAGAGAAGGAAAATGGAAAAAAAAATTTTTTTTTCTCCTTAAGCTGTTGTTGTTAAGAGCTGTCGAGTCAGTTCTGACTCACAGTGACCCTGATTAGGGTTTCCAAGGAGTGTCTGGTAGGTTTGAACCACCACCTTGAGGTTCAAATCAACCTTGCAGTGAACAGGTAACTGAAAGAAGCAGCAACCAACCAACCCCACTACTATCAAGTCTGTACTGAATTGCCCCACAGGGCTTCCAAGGTTGTAAATATCTACAGAAACACACTGCCACATCTTTCTCCCACAGAGCAGCTAGTGCATTCAAATTAGCACTCAAATGCTTACCCACTACATCTACATCGTATCGCCAAGGTTATGGTTAATTTGTAAATGGTAGCTAATTTTATAGAAATCCCCATACCACAATCATGATTGTTCTCTACTGGAATTTATTATTGTGGGAACTGACTGAATTACCTCTTATTTGGTGGCTATTTCTTGGGACTCTACTACGTTCTAGACTCTAAATCCTGTGTCTTAAGCATAAGGGGTACAGCAATGACAACAAGTAAGCACAAGGGACCTTTGATTGGAGGAGGAATCAGCATAAAGCAGGGAGAAATCCTTTTTTTTTCCCTCTTGTCAGCTGGCATTAAGTTGATTCTGAATCATGGCAACTCCATGTGTACAGAGTAGAAAAACTCAATAGGGCTTACAAAGCTATGACCTTTCTGAAGCAGTCTGTCAAGCATGTCTTCCAAGATGCTTTAGTTGTTGTTGTTGTTGTTGAGTGCCTTTGAGTCAGTTCTGACCCATAATGACCCTGTATAGGGTTTCTGAGGAGCGGCTGGTGAGCTTGAACCATGGACCTTGTGGTTCAAACTAACTTTGTAGTACAGCACACTAGCCCACAGCGCCACACCAGGACTCCAAGATGCCTCAAGGTGGGTGCAAACAGCCAATCTTTGACTACTGTCCAAGTACTTAAATGAGTCATCAGGGACTTTCATTTTCTTTGTAGGTTTCAAATTGCCTTAATTTTGTAATGAGAACAAATGGAAACAGAATTACTTCAGGATAGGATATTATTCTTTTATCTAAAACATTTTTAGGTTTACAAGCTTTAATCTTAGAATTATGAATTTAACAGCTATGTTTTCTTCCTACATCAAATGCTTTTCTAAAAATAAAAAGATTGTTCTACCCTGAGAGATCTGATTTGTTTTGTGGGCTCATCATTAGAGGGTTTTATTTTGACAAGTAAGCCATCAATCTGAATAAAATAATACATTTCAATTGTGAATTACACACCTAAATATTTTTAAAGCATTGGCTCAAAATCCTTCTGATAAATCAACTAATAACTCTATAAAGATACAAGAAATGTTTCCAGACATGGCAAATAATAACATTAAATGGGGAGACTGAATTTTCTTTACTTCTAATACCATTCTGTTGTAGATAATGGGATGATAACAACCAAAAAGGTTGTTATTAGGGGAGGCGATCCTGACTCTGGACATGAGTGAAGATCCCTATGAATCTGATTCATTGAGAGTCTTCATGTCTATCTGACCTGCACAATCGTAGATTCCATAGACAAAACCACAGGTATTGGTGGTTTCTTTTGTAATTGTACAAACTGTCTCCCATTTTCCTGATTTTTGACTCTCCAACAATTGTCCCCCCTTAATCACCAAACCTGGTGACTACCTACTGCACCCACTTAGAACATGTGTTTCAGACTCTAACCATTAGCATTTTCCCTGATACTATGGATGGTTCCTACCGTCTGGGTTTCCATGTCTCTGAAGCAACAGTGCCCTTATCATTCACCCTGAACTCATAGAACACAGGAAGCTGGAATCAGTCCTTTCCTACCACCAGCCAAATTGCAAAACTGCTCCCACACATGAGCTAAATATCCTTTGAAGTTTTAGATGTGAAATCTCAGAAGAACATCCAGGGGATTTTCTGTTAGCTGCTTGAAGTTAGCAGCTGTAGTGTAGCAAGTGGCTCTAGTCCCAGTTCTGTCCATTACTAGTTGGTGACCTTAACTAATCCCTCACTTAAGCATGAGTCATTTGATCTATAAAAAGAAGTAAAACTAACCTTCCAAGGTGACTGTGAAGAATGAAGAGGGACTATAGGTCCCACTCAGAATAGGAGGCCCTAGGTGGAGGAAACTTTTAACATATTCAACTGCTAACTGAGAGATTAGAGTTTTATTCCACCCCAAGGCACCTTGAAAAAAGGTCTGGCATTCTACTTCAAAAAACTAGCCACTGAATACCCTATTGAGTAGAGCTCTAACATGAGGTTGTCATGAGTAGTAATCAACTTAAATTTCTTTCACTCAAAATAAAATCTAAACTCTTTTGTGACTGATGAGGCCCATGGTCTGCCCCTAATCACGTCTCTATTTTCATATTGTATCTATCATTGTTGTTTTTTTGTTGTTAGGTGCCATCGAGTCAGTACCAATCCATAACAACCTTATGCACAGCAAAACGAAACACTGCCCGATACTGGGCCAACCTCACTACTGTTGCCACACTTGAGTCCATCTATGCTGCCACTTGGCCAATCCATCTCGTTGGGGGTCTTCCTCTTTTTCTCTGTCCCTCCACCTTACCAAACATGAAATCCTTCTCCAGTGACTGGTCCCTCCTGACAATATGTCTGAAATATGAGAAACAAAGTTTCGCCATCTTGGCTTCCAAGGAGCACTGTGGCTGTACTTCTTCCAAAATAGATCTATTGGTTCTTTTGGCAGCCCATGGCACTTTCAATATTCTTCTCCAACACCATAGCTCAAAAGCATCAATTCTTTACAGTCTTCCTTATTCACTGTCCAGCTTTCGCATGCTACATATGAGGTTATTGAAAATACCATGGCTTGGGTCAGGTGCACTTTAGTCCTCAAGCTGACATCTTTGCTCTTCAATACTTTAAAAAGGTCTTGTGCAACAGATTTGCCTAATGCAATACGTTGTTTGATTTCTTGACTGCTGCTTCCAGGTATCTATCATGGCCCCCCTTTATCCACCTACCCAATTACACTGGCTTTCTCTCTGTCTCTTTGATAGGCCAAGCTCATTTTGATAACGGAAACCATCTTTTTTACCTGAACTGCTTTTACCAGGTGTTCTCAAGACCACCTCTGCTTCTCTTTTACATCTCAGCTCAAATGTTGCCTCCTTAGAAAGAACTGTCTTGAATATCTAAGCTAAAGTCGTAGTCTATTTACTTAATTTTTTTTTATCGCAGTATTTCCCATTTCTGTCTTCATAGCAGTTATCAACAATAGAAATACTTAAATTACTTATTTATAGGGGCTTTTCTTATCCGTCTTCTGACATGAGAATTAAAATACTTTTTGTCTTTACAGACAAAACCAAAGGAAACATAGTGTTTATTCAATAGTAGCCTAGTGAATGAATTCATTCCATCTCTTAGTACAAGGACATTAAGGTAAGTCAATCAGATTCCTAATAGGAGAGACCAATGTCCCATTCATAAACTTGGTGTGAATGTGGGTATGTATTCAGGTAAGGAGAGGCAGACTTAGTTCTCCCCCTACAAATGGAACACTAGAAGAGAAAAGCAATTGATTTGCTGCATAAGAGGAAAAAACTCAGCCCTTAAAACTTTTGTTTGTTCTAGCCACAAGGTTCTATCATCCAAACAAATTGGACCAATTACTTTCCCAGTCCAAAGAGATATGTGCCAGGTTAATTGAATTTGACAGCTGAAAAAACACTTTTAAAAATGCTAGCCCTCCCACACAGACATTTGGACTACTGATGTCCTCCAGCTTCAGATGTTGATAATATTTTCATGTCTGAGAAAACATTGAGAAACAAAAGAAATGGATAAAAACATCTGTACCCAATTTCAAAGCTGTGGTACAAGGCCACCCATCCTGTGATCCCTGAACAAAAAGCCTATGCATTTACTCAACAAGCATTATGAAAGATCATAACATTTCTGAAGCCCCACTGGAACCCAATGGATAGTTACGTTAGTAGGTTTCCTGAAGATCTGATCAAATCAACCACTTGTTTGTGGGTGAAGCCTTCTGTGCTCACGCCATTGATATTTGCAAGGACATCACCTGGGAGATGCCAAGAAAAAGAAATGTCACCTCAGTAAAATAATCCCTCCTGATTTGTACTGCAAATGAAACAAAACAAGTAAGCTCCAAACCTTCACAACATAAAGGAGTTAAGGAAATTCAAAGCAACAGTCACATCCTGACCTTCACTAATTAAAAGTTTTCATTGCTGGTTATTCAAATGATTTGAAACATGAGCAAAGTCATAAGTTACCAGTGCGCAAGCCAGAGCAGTGAGCTGGACTGTCCTCTTCTATTTTGCAGATCAGAGTACATAAGTCCCAGGAACAGGTGTTCTGGTTCTGGTGTCTGTGAGTCTGTGAAAATAAAAGTGATACATAGTGACATGGGGAATAAAAGAGAACATTTTAAAGTAGACTTGTGGCAACCTCCTTCACGGGTGTCAGACTAGAACTGAGCTCCATAGGATTTTCAGGAGCTAAGTCTTTGGAAGTAGATCACCAGATCTTTCTTTTGAGGAACTTCTAGGTGGACTCAAATTCCCAACCTTTCAGTTAGCAGCCAATTGCTAACTATTTGTACCAACCAGGTACTCAAGAGTAAGTGCAAAGAAAATTTTCTGGACTATAAACTAAATCATAAGTACCAATTTTACAATTCTACCAAGCTAAATGAGCCAACCCCATTCATAAAGAATATTGTGATCAGCAACAACAAAAAAAGGTTAAGGGTGCCTCAAAGTTTTAGCTTTTCAAACCCAAGAGGCTACCTTACGTTATCATCATTGCATATTTATTAAGAAAACTGAAGTTTCTCATTTTCTAATTGGATAAATCAATATTGTCCAAGAGCAAAGATAAAAATCCTTATCCAGTCCTCCAAAGCTACAGCAATCGTTACAGGAAGTATGTAACAGTACACATCCAGCCAGGGAGATATGCCCACAATGATCATCTTAAATCAGAGTTTTGCAAATAGTGACAATATGCCATGCATTTATTCAAAAGCACTATAATTGACTCAATTATCTTCATTTCTGAGCATTCTCCTGTTTGCCTGCCCTGAATACTTACTGGTTCATTAGTCACCCAACTAAATTAGAAAAAGTTATGCTTTTCCTCCTGCTTCAATTTGGCAAAAGTATTTGTTTGTTTTCAAATTGTAGCAAGAACACTGAAGGCATCACATCGCAATAACCTTTATCATGTTTTTCTTTTCCACACATTTAAGTTATGAGATCTAAGTCCATTTAATACCAAAAGCAGCCTTCTGAATTAAGCCTTTTAAAGATCTGATTCCTAAAATTAAGCCACATCACAATACTTCCTGATGGAGATATTAATGGCTAATGTTCATTCCTTTTGTGAGAGTCACACACAAGCAACTTGTAGACACCTTGAAAGGATTTCTATTTAATCTATAAGGTTTTTAAAGGTAAAAGGAATTTTAAAAGATCAAGTTAAACACTTTGCATTTTTGTCAGAAACTTCTTTAACAGTTCTACTGTCTTCTCACTGAAGTCTAAACCTTTCCAGAGATGGAAGGGTGGTCTAGTTCAAGTGGCACATTAGCTAAAGATGTTACTGCCATTCTTTTTGAAACAACTATTATACAAGGAGCTCTGGTAGCGTAGTGGTTACGAATCGGGCTGCGAACCTTAAGGTCAGCGGTTCGAAACTACCAGCCACTCCGCGGGAGAAAGATGAGGCTCTCTACTCCCGTAAAGATTTACACCCTCGGAAACTCTGTACAGGGTCGCTATGGGTCGGAACCGACTCGATGGCACTTAACAACAACAACATTATACAAAGTCTCAATAGCAGGACGAATCCAGACTCAATCCTCAGTGATCAAAGTGAGTAGAGTGGAATGGAAACATTGATTTTGTAGTCAATGCTTGCATGTGTGTTTATGATAGGTGTTTAATTTGGAAGTTACAATTTTTTTTTTTAAATGCAAAAACCCAAAGTGATGGAAAGAAATAGTCAAATACTTCTTTCCCTTTTACTCAGCCTTCCAGCTTTCAGTTTTAAGGGCCAGAAACAGAATGATCATTAGAACTTCTCAGAGACAGACTGGACTATCTTAGTGATCTAGTGTTGCTGGGACAGAAATGCACCAAGTGGTGGATTTAACCAACAGAAATTTATTTTCTCAGTTTAGAAAACTAGAAGTTCTTCAGAGAATTAATTCAAAAGGAAAGCACATGCTCTCACTTTCTCTCTGTCTCTGTCTCTCTCTTTCTGCCCTCACTCTGCAAGAAGGTCCTGTCTCTTTTTTATCCATTCCTAGGTCTCTTAGCAATAATGTGGCATGTATCTTCCACTTTGTGCTTGCTTGCTTACTTGGTTAATCTGCTCATTTATATCTCAAAATAGGTTGATTTAAAACACCTTACACTAATATGGATTTATGGTATGGCACTGTAGGATAAACACTGGATTGTGAACCACAAGGTAGGAAGTTCAAATCCACCAGTTGCTAAATAGAAATCCTATACAGGGTCGCTATGAATCGGAACTAACCTCCATGGCACTTAACAACAACAGCAACAACACACTAATACAACCTACAACGATTCAATGACACTGTAACCTATTGTCTATTAATGATAGTTTAGTCATTTGATCTCTGTAGATTAAATACTTATGGTACAGGTGGTGATGGTGTGCCGTGGAGTCAGTTCTGACTTATAGGGACCCTGTATAGAGTTTCTGAGGCTGTATATCTTTGCGGGAGCAGAAAGCCTCATCTTTCTCTCAGAACAGGTGGTAGATTCAAACTGCTGACCTTGTGGTTAGCAGTCCAACTCATAGCCTACATTATCAGAACTCCTTTATGATACAAGAGGGACATTTAATAAAGCAGTAACAAATAAGTACATTGTGTGTGTGTTTTATAGCAGAATAAGAAACTATGTTTATCCTGTTTTCTGTAGCAGTTGTTGCTCATCCGTGGGAATAATGCTCACTTGAAGAGAAACATAGTGTCTCTACAACAAAATAGGGAGTGTTTCTTATGAATAAAATTGAAGAGAGTATAATGCTTCTAAAAACCATATGGAAGAATTATAGATTTCATCAAATTTTAAAGGAGAACACAAAAGGAGTAAGACATTTTCTTTTCTCCTATAGCTTGTTCTCTGTTCATTGCAGCTAGAGTATCATTGTGTTTTTCACTCATAAAACATGTTTTGCATAGCAGCTTCCTGTTCCTACTCTTAAAATACACACTGACTTTCCATTTATGGGGCTAAGATTTAGTCATCCAAGGCTTACTAATGCTAAAATCTAAAATCTGATGTATACTATAAGATCATGATTATGCAAAACACATATAAAAGAAATACAAAAGTGCTATGAAAAATAATCAGGAATACTTACACTACTATTGCTGAACTTAAAGACTTTATTTGACTTAACACCCCATCTTTACCAATATGGCCATTCAAAAGCAAACAGAAAAATTTTAATGAAAATTCTTGGGCAATTACATTGAAATTGATCCAGATTGTTAAATGTCCTACAGCGTGAGGCAATCTGCAACTAAAGCCAAATATCTTCAGGTATTTCAAAAATAATTATAAAGTATTGCTACTAGTTAAAGTTAAAAAGGTAAAATGTTTTTCATTACATCTCATATGAACTCTTTGTTGTTGTTGTTGTTGTTGAGTGCTGTCTGAAATAAGTTTCACTGGTTTTGCTGCTCTAGAGAACCTCGCCCAAGATATTTGGTACCGAGAGTGGTTCTAAAGAAACAAAATCCTAAGAGTTTTCTAAATTGGTTCTCAAGTCTAAATAATTTTAAAGGCACAAATAACTCTGTTCCACTAGTAAGGAAGGTGAGGGAGCTGCTACCCCATGGTGTGAATGGTAATATTAATACATAAAATATCACCACCAATTGATCACAGATTGCAGAGAAGCAGGGTTCTGGGGGATTGTGTGTATGATACTTATCTGCAATTTTGTTAAAACAAATAGTATAGAAAAGCTGGTTGGTTGGTCCAGCTTACAATCAAGACAGTGGTAAAGAGAAGAGTTGAGTTAGGGCTAAGGAGTCACAGCTCAATTGCCACATAAAAGATCTCAAAGTTTCCACTTATGCCCTGAAAGAAAGCCGTATTTCTCGTGGTGGTGTGCCGGAAAGGTCCTGACTCCGTCACCCTGTACAGTGTTTCTGAGGCTGTAAATCTCCCACAGAACAGCTGGTAGTTTTGCACTGCTGACCTTGAGGTTAACAGCCCAATTTGTAACCGCTATGCTACCAAAGCTCCATATTTCTTGCAGTAGCAGAATGGATATTGACAATAACCAAATGTAGAGTCTTACTGTAAGCGTGGCTGAATTACAATGCCAGCTGAATTCCTTACCTGGAATAGTGTCGATGCTAAAATGATGGCATGAATTGGAAAGAAATGGGATCCTGTAACTTACGATGGGGACACATGGGCAGATAATCAGGAAGCGTAGACATAGAGTCCGTAAATGCCATTGAATCACTCTTGCCAACAGCCTTCCCATTTGAAAAGATTACTCCATCTTTGTTTGCTGACCCATTTTCAGTAAAATCATTATCCTTTCTGCCCATACTTGATGAGATTAACCCAACTGTGCCTTCTGAGATGATGCCTAAGACATTGTCTGGGGCATGACCTAAGGTAGTTATCTTACAAGATATTATTGAATATTCCCAGGAAACACCTCCACCATTTATTGCTTCTACCTATAACAAAGGTCTTAAAGTCCTGGTGTGGTGCTGTTGTTAGGCCCAATTGCCCTATAATAACTAATTTTTAAGTAAAGATCAGGCTGAAGTGGGAAAATGTTTAGCATCAACAACTCCCCTAGATGCAGAAACCCCCTCTCGCCTTAACTCTGGCTAAACTTGGCTTCTGTAACACTGCTTATGCAAATTCCTCACATCTGAGTGGGCCTGACTTACTTACAGGATACTATGGCCAGAGGCAAAGGCTAACCTTCAGAACAGCCAGCCAAAGTTATTCTTGAAAACTAACTGTCCCAGCAGATGTACCCCTATCCCCAAGTTAATCTTGAGAAGAAACTGTCTCAGCTGATATACTCCTAGCCCCCACTCTAACAGCTCATGCATACATCATACCCTTGGTTTGTACAAGATAATGTCAGACTGCCTATGTATAAATACTCTTTGAAAAACTGGGTCGGGGCTGCAGTTTTTCCCGCTTTTAAGGAGGCTGTAGTCGCTGGCCAGCTAATAAAGGCTTTCTTATTGATCCTGAGAGTCTTCATTGGTCATCTAGGTAAATTGAGGCACAACACTGTGGGTTAATGCACCAAACTGCAAAGCCATTTGAACTGCAAGGTCGGTGGTTCAA